GCTGCCTTGTCTGAATACCAAGCTTCCAAGAATTCCCTTGCATTTTTGGATTTAGCTCGGTCTAAACTTTTAAACTTCATATTTCCTATTAGTCTCTTGCATTCAAAGTGCCTTCATAAAATATGCTTAACCAGGTTATGAATTAATCCATTTTCTGGAGGCATAAAATCCACTGAGCCACAAACAGTTTAGTCAATTTAGTATGTACAGTAGACCTGGTTAAGCCTGTTATGGAAGCACAACTGCCAAATGACTTAGCACATGTGCAACCCATCTTACCTCACAGGCCTTGTCCTGATTGGCAAAGGAATACATTTGTAATGTGGGCATAACCGTATAGTATCATGTATTTGGGAAAACACACATAACCTGAGAATATGTTTTATAACTACATGGGTAGTACAAGGGAGCGTTACTTAAAATGACCTTCATGTTCCTTGATTGATGTCACTTTGTAACACACCACACAAGCCCATAATTTGTTTAAGAATGGGTGAATAAGCAACAGTGGTTGAATTTTCTCACTGTGCTAAGCTGTAAACCAGGTTTCACAAACATGGGGTCATGCAACTTGCTGCTTCGAACCTAAACAAACTACAGGAGGGAACCCAGCCAGAATGGTTTCAAAACCATCTTATTTGGTATATAATGTTGTGTCACCCAATAAATTGTGTTTTATTCAATAACTCTTGATTAATCACTTAATTGTACTGTGACTACAGCTATAATGTGTATAGAAGCGTTAATAATCTCTTTCCCCTTTTCCTTCATCCATATTAAGGGCATATATTGACCCCAGAAAGCACAAGTAATTCCTCTTTTCCATAATGTGGCATTTAAGTAGGTCCTGAGGCACAGCTATATTTTCAAAGTAACAAATGATACATCGCATGATTTTTTCTCTCTCTCGACTGTGTAGAAGCAATTGAAACATTTGTTCTCTGTAGACTTAGGGGCTTGTAAAATTGTTGCAGTTAGCTGCTAATCATTCTATACCTTTAGAGAACTTTCAAATTAAAGCAAGGATTAGAAGCCACTGAAGGTCACAACGTTCTTGAATTCAGCTGAACAAGAAAGTGGCTGAGCGCTTTAGGGAAGACAAAGGGTTGGATGTCAGTTCCCATTGATCAGAGCTGACCAGCAAATGAATGAAGTTGGGAATCATTCAGTAACATCTGGAGCATCACAGGTTAAATAGGTGGCTGGCATCATGAGGGCTTGCATGAAGTCAGTCCCAAATTGTTGAACAAACCATACATTGTAACTGTTAAACTACAGCGTCTTGGGCTCACATTTCAGACTAGTTGTACTTGTTAACGTTGGACTTGTACAAGGGAGATGCAGGTTCAGATCCTCACTAGATCTCAGATTGAGTGATGCACTCCCAGCCTGACCCACCTTACAGGGGGTTGTGGGAATGATATGAGAGAAACTCTCCCGTCCCTTGAGCTCCCAGGAGAAAGGAAGATAGAAATAGAATGATAGATAGGTAGTTACCAAACATACAACATTATAATTTAGGGCAGTGTGTGAATCCAGCTATGTATTCTTCTTGTGGCCTACACTAAAATGGTCCTTCTGCATTGTTATCCTTTATGGGTTTTCTTTTTCATTTTTTCATTTTCATTTCTTGAATTTTTACCTAATCCGGTGCTATCAACTATGCCATGTTATATAATAATCAGGTTTTATTACATTAATGTATTGCTTTCTGTTTTTGCCATTATATTACTTACTGTATTTTATTATATATACTGTACACTGCCTAGACTCTCTGTGAATGGAGGTAATGTATAAATGTAACATTTATCTCTGTGACTATAGCAATTTGTTACCAAAATCCATATTTCGTGAAAGAAGGCTGCAGTTCTAAGGCCCGTGGAACAGAAAAGCAGCCCCATTGATCATAAAATCATAGCACTGAATGAAAACCCAGAGAACATATCATCCAAAGTGGTGCTCAGTGCAGTATCTACTCATGCCATGATCCTTCCAAGAAGATAGAAATGGGATCGCTCATGACACTTCACTTATTTCCATCAGGGATGGTCAACAGAGTGCTCTCCAGATGCTTTTATTATATTATTATATTTGCCTGAAGTCACATGGTATAGGGAGCCATGGAGATGATCTTGGAAAAGGTATCCAGAAGCCATTAGGACAGCGTTTCTCAACCTTAGCAACTGGCTGGTGAATTCTGGGAGTTGAAGTCCCTATATCTTAAAGTTGCTAAGGTTGAGAAACTCTGCATTAGGACAGGTGCAGAAGATGCATGGGCTAAGCCCAGGGAGGTAGGAAAGTATTAGAAAAAGACTTAGACTGGCTCCTCTCTGATCCCCAGGTGTGAAAGAGGTAGGTCAGGGAAAACACAAACAGACTTGCAAGATTCTGTTACTGTAGCCTCTCTCAATGAAGTTTTATTTGAGTCTTTCTGTAGAGGCAGTTTCCTGATCTGGTGTACTTTGTAGGGCTGACACATGGACAATCCTCAGGGACTCTAAGAGCTTTAGTTCAAACCTTCTGAAGACATTGTGTTCCTAGTTCTGCCGGATCCATTTACACCAAAAGAAATCTCCAAGGATGTACTCCTAGAAAACAGGCTTTAGACAGCAGCCTTTCTAGTGATATGATGTTCTGGTGATACGATATTCTCTTTTCTTGTGACATTTGATTAATTCCATGATTTGATTTCTTGGTCATATACTAAAGTCAACGCAAGCATATTTTCTTTACATACATACCCTAGGAAACATATTAATGTTCAAATACCAGTTGTAGAGGTTCCCCCTCCCCCCCCTTTTATTTTTTTGGTTTACTTTGCTTTTGCACCACAAAGAGGATTAAAACTTAAGTTCTGTTGTTATAGGTGAAGGAAGCAATGCAAAGAATCCATGACAGAGGCAATATAGGAAAATTAATTCTGGATGTGGAAAAGACGCCTACTCCTTTGGTAAGTTAAAATAAGGTTTAAAAGGTTTAAGTTAAAAGAAGGTTTAAAATTCAACATGGATCAAGAGGTGGATATTGAAGAAACATTCTCTCCCATGATTAGCCCATATACAATTCTGAAATGAAGCAAAAAGAAAATTAATTTTGCTAATATGATCTTCCTGGCAAAATTTGAAGAATATATTATTTTAATCTCTGTGATGTTCCAATTTAAAGAGCTACAGATCTTACCCAATTTGTACTTCTGAATTCTAGGGAAAGCAGATCACACACATACATACATATACTTCAAATCTGAACTTTTCCAAAGGTTATTAAAAATTCAGCTTACAACTTAATAAAATGCATATATTATACTGTAGTGGCCCCCATGTGGTGCAGCACATTCCTTCTGTATAGTCTGTAAAGCAGTTAAAACTTTTTTTGCTTGGGGTCTTAATTGATTTATTGCTGGTATTCTTCTTGATATGTGTATAGTGCTCTATTCTAATTAGCTGTTTTTAATCTTTATTGAATACCACATGGTTGGGGTGTCTACAAATATTTATATAAAGAGCGAATACATATATACATACAAAAATGCCTCTACACATAAGCTGTTAATACAATGAACTTTGTAAATCTCTGTTTTAATCGTGTTTGATAGAACTGAATTTTGGTTTAACAAGATGCATTTCTCTCAGGGTATAAAAATATCCATCAGCGCTTATCCATAACTATTATCCTAAAAGGGCATGCTTAATGTTTCTGGTTTCCATAGATGCTTTGTTAATTTGGGGGGAAATGTTCACAAAAGGAATTTCCAATAAGAGATGGTACATTTTGTGGTAAAAACACAGTTTTTCATTAATTAAATATTTACCCATTATTAGATGACTCTTCCACAAGAACCAAATACGAGGATAGTTTTAGCATTAGGCAGAGACCGAGATGATCAAACTAATGATTAAACTCTTGGTTTGTAACCAGAATTTGAGTATAAAGTGTAAATAATTTAAGGATTTCATTATTTATGACATAGCAATGGCCAAAAATTTTGATGGCTTTAATAAGGCACAACATGGCATATGCTATAGTACCATTAGATGACTTGGCTTTCAATGCTGTATATTTATTACGCCTCTGAGTTCTTCTTCAAGGGTGGATCCGAGGCTCCAAGCTCAGAAGAAGAAATTTGCATCTTGTTCCTCCATCTAACTAGAAAACTGGTTCTGTCAAAATGCCTTTTTAGGGAAAGGTTATGTTTCAGAAAAACAGTAGCCTCTTGAATCCATTGGAAAACATGCATTTACTGTTTTAAATACATAGATCTGGGGTTTCCCTCAGACATATATTTCCATTTCTAGGACTCTTAGGAATGTTCCTGGGGCACTGTCTTATTTTATGGAGCGCTAAAATGTACTTGCTAGAGACTATAACTGTTTATATAGGCATTATGCTTAACTTAAGTCCCTGAGAAAGTTTTAAGTATTTTTTTTTTTAAGTGCCTTTTTAGAAGATCACACATACTGTTGGACAATCTTTCTTTCCAATTCCGAGCTATGTACATTTATTCTCCTCAGTGCATTCCTATCCATGGCACAGATTTCCTTCTGCCCCTCCCCCTGTCCCACATTCCTCTCAACA